TACCAAAATAAGCTTGATGTCAATTTGTGGTTGTGAAAGATTTAGTTGCATCTGATCTTCCAAGAAAGTTGTGATGAATTGAATGGGATAGAGAGACAGGAATTATGTAGTTGACTCTCAGGTTTATTGGGAGTAAGGCTTGGTTTGTTGCTATTTTAGCCATCCTACTAGCCTCCCCATGTTTGCCTGCCTTCCACTGAATATGACAAACCTTAGAGCTGCCTAATCTTCTAAGTGTTCGTGCTATGCTATATTATCCTTCATCTAAAAACATGCAAATATTTACACAATAATTGTCGTTTGGACCAATATTGAACAGAAAGTATCTGCTTACACAATTTAGACGAACTTTCAGGACTTGGATTTACAGATTCTTCTTTTCTTTTCTTTTGAGAATTGAAAGTTTTCCTCTTAGAATCTTATTCTGTCAAATATCTTCTACTTTTTTGTTAGATGATTCGATATAGATAGGTCTATTCAACTTATTCGAGATAGGACGCGTCAATTTTATGGTATGGTGATGAATTGAACTTCCAATTATAGATAATTCTTTGTTCTTTTGGTTGATTGATATTGTGCTTTGAAGAAAATCTAAATAAAATTGTTCATGAAAGGGAATTGATTAACATGTGACTTGTAAGTTTGACGTAATAATGTTAGGGTACGTTTGATTGACTTTATTTTTATGAAAAATGTTCATTTTGCACCAAAATTCTTACTTTCAAGGCGTTCGTTCGACATTTTTTTCCATAGAATATATTTCTAACTTTTGGTTATGTGATCATATTTTTCTCTAAACAAAGAAAATATTTTTTTGGGCAGGTTTTTATTTTTCAGGCAATTCTTCTCTCTCACTTATCTACCTCATGTTTCTCGAATACCCATCAATAAAATATAGATAAGTATAATATTTTCCATGCAATTCATTAGCTTTCATTTTTTCTGTCTCTCGTCTATTCACAAATAAAAAAATGGATAAGTATAATTTTTTTTAGATTGAAAACTAAATTAATAAAACACGTTTAATTAATAATTTTCATACAAATCAAGTTTAGACAATTAATATTTTTCCATATAAATTTCTTGGTCGCAATCAAACTCACCCTTAGTGAGTGAAAAGTTGAATCAATTTAAAAAAAAAACTCGTCGTTAATTGTGTGGTGAACGTTGTCTTTCCTTAATTCTCACAAAATCACCCCACATATAAAAAACACCTCAGCCGTCGAATATATCCCTATCAGATCAATAACCTGACACCGTTGGATCAAATCAAGAAGGGCGTGTGTGTTTTTTAGGGTATATAAGCAAATCCTTCGCTTCCAACGAACGCAAATAATCACAAAACCTACACAATTGCACAAATTCCAGAGGGAGAAAGAGAAACAACAATGGCGGCAACAGTGAGCGCGTGGGCTAAACCCGGCGCATGGGCTTTGGATGCGGAGGAGAATGAGTCGGAGCTCCTCCAAGAACACAAACAAGACTATGTGAAAGACAATTCAAGCGGCGGCGGCGGCGATACAGCGGATTTTCCATCCTTGGCGGCGGCGGCCTCCACCAAGACCAAGAAGAAGAAGGCCCAAACTCTGTCCCTTCAGGAATTCACAACTTACAAGCCGTCTCAGCCGATCGTTGCCAAGGGACTAACCCCCGATGAGATGATGTCCCTTCCCACCGCCCCTCGTCAGCGCTCTGCTGAGGAACTCGATCGTAATAAGCTAGGTGGTGGCTTCAAATCTTACGGCTCTTACAACGAACGGCCGTCAAGGGATGAACAGCCGCGTCGCCAGGGAAGCTTTAATAGGGACTCGAACGGGGAGTTTGGGTCTTCGCGCGCCGATGAGACCGATAATTGGGCTGCGGGAAAGAAATCAACGGTTGGTAATGGATTCGAGAGAAGGGAGAGAGGAGAAAGAGGAGGGTTTTTCTCGGATTCGCAGTCCAAGGCTGATGAATCTGATAATTGGGGTTCCAATAAGGCTTTTGTGCCGTCTGAACCTCGTAGATATGATAGAAGAGGGAGCTTTGGATTGGAGTCCAATAACGGTGGTGCCGATACAGATAGTTGGGTAAAGAAAAAGGAAGATTGCCCAAAAATTGGTGGAGCATTTGATAGTTTGAGGGAAAGAAGAGGGGGCGTTGAATCTATCGGTGGAGATTCTGAGGCATGGGGTAGGAAAAGAGAGGATGGGAGCGGTGGGATTGGTAGCAGGCCGAGGTTAAATTTGCAACCAAGGACACTGCCTGTGAGTGAGGGCCAGAAGGGTGAGAATGGGGTGAAGTCAAAGGGTAATAATCCATTCGGAGAGGCAAGGCCAAGGGAAGAGGTTTTGAAGGGGAAGGGGCAAGATTGGAAGGAAATTGAGGAGAAGCTCGAGACTACGAAAATTAAGGAGGTTGGTACTGAGTCCCCTGATGGGCAGGCAGCCGGGAAGATAAGTTTTTGGAGTGGTAATGGGAGGGACAGGTTGCAGCAGGAGGAGAGGACTTGGAGGAAGTCGGAGTCTGCTGATTCTCGTCTCCAGAGGTAGGTAAATTAGGTTCTGAAATTACATGAATAGTGAAAAATACTGTCTTTTGATTAAGAACTGAATGGTTTGAAATGTTAATAACTTGATTGAATTTGTTTCTTACTTTAATTTGGCTCTTGTTGAAACTACCCGTCCTTAATGAAATATGTGAATATTTTTTGTGCTTGTTTTCTGTGTATGTCAAATGTTTAAAAATTTGTCATTATCTTTAGCTTTACTGAATCGATTGGTTTTGGTTGGTCTGAATCATTTCTTGGAAAATTGGGTGTTTCCCAGAACTTGCAGATACTGTAAACATAGAGACATAGTAAGTTATATCTCAGCGGTTATCTTCTATTGTGGGGTTTTACATTGGAGCCTTCAGTCTTGCTCAAACCTCTCTTTTCCTGTACTTTCTTCAAACACAACTTGTGTTTTCTTTTTAGAGAAGTTATATATTTGCTTGGACCTTTTATGTGGTTTGAGTTTGCTCTATTACCTACAAATTGGTAATCCTATTTAATTTGTGGTTGTGTTAGCATATGCATTTTGAATTCTTTTCTTTCTAATAATACCACTTTGTTCACCATTTGAACACCATCAATAACTTGTATCATATTTTCCTCTCTATTTATGTCGCCTCTCCTTTTCTATTATTCATCCATTACACTGATTCTGCTATTCAGTTTTCGTTCATTGTCTATTTTTTCTTCTTTTTGGGCCCTTTTTGGTTAGAATGAACAAGGCATGAGGCATCTAAAACCTTTCTTACCTTGTGCCGCAGATACCGGATTGAAGAGACCCACTCTTGTGTTATTGTAGACTGTAGCGTTTGTACTTTGCTCGTGCTTGTAGGCATACTTCTGGTTGAAATACATTTTTGTATTGATGTTTAACTTATTTTTTGTTTTAATAAAATAAATGGATTTATGCATTTTATTATGGCAAGAGATGCAATAGGTGTTTTTGGCATGTTGGACAAAAATTTTTGTATTGAACATTACTATGAATCTTGTATGCATGTTCTTACTGTCTATTTTATATGCTTGAAACCTTCATTTGCTGTCGTTATAATTATTATTACCTTCTTCTGCTAATAGTGCCGAGGGAACTGAAAATGAACCAGCTGAGGAAACTGAAAATGGATCTGCTGAGGAAACTGAAGATAGAGATCCACAGATATGATGCTGCCTTTGTAGTGAATGGGGCATAACGTCTTGATTGAGATTTCAAATTTACTGTTTTCTGTCCAAGAGTTTTGTTCGCTAAAGTTATTTTGATGCACAACATGAGAGGCATTTTTGGTAGATTTACAGGTAGCCTAAACTGGGTATTGTAACCACGATACTGCTCTTTCTGTTTTTTTAAGTTGATAAACGCTCTTTATTATTGTGAATTCTCAATGTTATGGAGTTTTATTGGTTCATAATACATTTGCTATATTGCTAGGCTACGTGGACGATCAATGTAATCTTAATGTGACCAACTTAACTTGCTTATTTAACCACACATAATTAGGGAGTGTTCGATAGAGATTAAAAACTAGTCGTTATTGTTGACTTTTATTAGACGGGTGAGATTCAATAACGATTATATTTTCAATTTTAATTAGATTTTAATCACTCTCAAACATGCTCTTGAGCTTTTTAGAACTCTGTACAATTCAAATGGGATCATACAAAAATAGCACAAGTGAATGAAAAATCTTTCCCCTGCTCTGTTCTTGCAGAGTTCTTCTCTTCTGAGTACATGAATGTAAGCAAAATCAAACGGCCGTCTAACCAATATCGAGGTTTGCTCAGAATTTTGAGGGTGGTACAACAGCATTCATTATGTCAACTTCTAAAATATTCAGTCTTAATAATAGCACTATCTTCCTTTTTCTGCTTAAAGAATAGAGTTTTGCTTCTTGTACAGTCTTC